CCCCCCCCCAGCCCTGGCCAGCGGTGGCCACATCTCAAGAGGGGTTGATATTTGTTGTGTTGTTGTGTGTCTTTTCTCGTGTGTAAGTCTGTGTTTGTGTCTGTCTCCCCCTGCTCCACACCTCCTCCCCACACAGACGGCTTCACCAGCGAAGGGGAATATCTGGAAATCACTGAGATCAACAGGCAGCAGGCCGGGGAGTATGAGTGTATCACGGCCAACGGCGTCTCCATGGCCGACACCAAGAGAGTCCTGATCACCGTCAACTGTGAGTCTCCCTTCACCCTTCCCCCTCTAGGGGGCGCCGGCTCCCATCCAGCCTCAGTGCAGGCAGGCCAGGCTGGCTCAGAGGAGCCTCTAGGGGGCGCTAGCTTCTCTCCTTCAGTTCCTTTGCTTTCTCCTCTTAGACCCTCCCACCATCAAGGACGTGAAGGACGCCTATCCCCCCATGGGCAAGCCGGCGCTGCTGAGATGTGAGGCGATGGCTGTGCCCGCCGCCGAGTTCGAGTGGTTCAAGGATGAGAAGCAGTGAGTGATTTCTCCCCCGCCTCGCCAAGCCCTCAGGAGAGGGCCGCATGGCCTGCCCTCATGGGAGTCTGACATCCAATCAGCCACCCTCTGGTCTCTCATTGGCCACGTGGCATCAAGTGATCCATGGTCATCTAGGTGTCCAAGTTCTCCTCCCAGTGAGATCCGAGCTGTGAGAGTCTTGTCCCGGAAAGATGAATCCCCTTTCTGGAGGTCTCAGGGCTTGTTGGGTTGTTGGGTTGGTTGTTGGGTGATTGTTAGTAAGGTGGGTTGGCTGGTGAGTGGGTTGATTGTTGAGTGATTGTTGATATGGTGGGTGGGTTGGTTGGTAGGTTGGTTGTTGGTACGATGGGTTGGGTGGTTAGTGGGTTGGTTGTTGGGTGATTGTTGATATGGTGGGTTGGCTGGTGGGTTGGTGGGTTCGTTGCTGGGTGATTGTTGGTACGATAGGTTGGCTGGTTGTTGGGTTGGTTGGTGGGTGGTTGTCAATATGGCAGTTTAGTTGACAGATGGTTTGCTGAGTTGGCTGGTTGTTGGTTTATTGAGTTGGTTGAAGGATTGATTATCGGAGTTAATATGTTGGTTCAATTGGTCCATGGGGCTGATTGTTGGGTTGGTTGATAGTTTGTTCAGCTGGTTGTTGGTTTGTTGGTTGGTTTGCAGGATTGGTTGTTGTATTAGTTAAGTGATGGTTTGTTGAGTGGGTTCATCATTGGCTTGTTGGTGTGATTGTTGGGTTGATTGATTGTTGTTTTATTCAGATTGTTGGTTTGTGGGCTACGACTGTTCGATACCTAAGTTCCTTATTACATAAGAACATAAGAACGGCCAGACTGTCAGACCAAAGGTCCATTCAGCTCAGTGTCCTGTGTGCCGACAGTGGCCAATGCCAGCTGCCCCAGAGGGAGGGAAAACAACAGGTAATCCTCATGTGATCCCTCCCCTGTCACCCATTTCCAGACAAACAGAGGCCAGGGACCCCATTCCTACCCATCCTGGCTAATAGATTCATGGAGGTTAGGTCCATCAATGGCTATCTAGCTCTTTTTTGAACCCTGTTAAAGTACTGGCCTTCACCACATCCTCTGGCAAGGAGTTCCACAGATTGACTGTGCGCTGAGTGAAGAAATACTTCCTTTTGTTTGTTTTAAACCTGCTGCCTATTAATTTCATTTGGTGACCCTTATTTCTTTTATTGTGGAAATGAAGTAAATAACTTTTCCTTATTTACTTTTTCCACACCAGTCATGATTCTATAGACCTCTATCATATCCCCCCCTTAGTCTTCTCTTTTCTAAGCTGAAAAGTCCAAGTCTTTTCAATCTCTCTTCTTATGGGACCCATTCCAAACCCCTCATCAGTTGTGTTGCCCTTTTCTGAACCTTTTCCAATGCCAATAGATCTTTTTTGAGATGAAGTGACCACATCTGTGTGCAGTATTCAAGATGTGGGAGTAGCAGGGTTTTATACAGAGGCAATAAGATATTTTCTGTCTGACTCTCGATCTCTTTTCAAATGATTCCTAACATTCTGTTTGCTTTTTTCACTGCCACTGCACACTGAGTGGGTGTTTTCAGAGAACTATCCACGAGGACGCCAAGATCTCTCTCTCGAGTAGTTGTAGCAAATTAGTCCCCATCATATTGTACGTATAGTTGGGGTTATTTTTTCCAATGTACATTACTTTACATTGATCCACATTAAATTCCATTTGCCATTTTGTTGCCCATGTTGTTTGGTAAGTTGGTTGTTTGATATCAGGGTTGTTTTGTTGTTGGTTGGTCTGTCGATTTGTTTGGTGGTTTCCTGGGTTTTGTGTGGTGCCTTGAATATGGCCCGGCTGGGTTCGTTGCTGGGTCTAGTGGTGGTTGGTTAGGCTGATGCCTTGGGGGGGGTTGTTTGGTGGGTTGTTGTTACTTTGTCAGGCTGGTTGTCTGTGCTCACAGGTGATGGGTGATCCCTGAATGGGGGAGCCCCCCCCCCCCCGCTCCAGGGCAGG